TCTGCGCGTCGAGGTTCACAAAGTGGTGTATCTGCCAAGAACTCTGCGCGTCTAGGTTCACAAAGTGCTGTACCTGTCACATCTGCGCGTCGAGGTTCACAAAGTGCTGTACCTGTCACGAAATCTGCGCGTCGAGATTCACGAAGTGCTGTACCTGCCACGAAACCTGCCCGTCGAGGTGAAATCTCCAAATGAGCCATATCCCCAGAAGTCACAATTCACTGCACCTGTCACGAAATCAGAGCTTGTCGAAGATCACCACCATGTCCAAAGTACTGCGCCTGCCACGGAAACTACATCTCGAAATAAAACAGCTCCGATCCCTTGCGCCCGTCACGAAAAGTCGACCTTGGACCACGAAAGCACGAGGTTTCCCGTGCACTTGCCACGAAAAGTGACCACCACGTGTGAAAATGCGCGCGGCACCATAACCAGTCGCTAGAAGCACCCGCCGCGGCCACCCAGACTTTGCGAGCCTGCGCAGTCGAAATGCCCATCGACGATGTCGAGAGGCGTGAATGTACTGTAAATAGCAGCGAAATAGCCGGACACGCCCGCGCGGCACACCGATCTAAGCACACCTGCTTTTCACTCACCGTAAGAACCCCTAAGTGGGTCCACACTGTTTGGGGAAAAAATCAAAAGGTAGAGCAAACAGAAAAGCAACAAAATTTAGCTTTGCGTGTTTATCGTTATTTTTGTTTTTTCGCTTTATTTTCACATGTTTTCCGCCTTATTTTTGCAGGTTTTAGTGTTTTTTGTTTTTTCTGGTACCACTTCTGCACTTATGAAAACTTTTACCCGTCAGCAATATTTGCTGTACGCTCCTGGGAAAAACGAAAAAACGAAACAAAAGCAAAACAGAAGTGAACATAAAGGGAGAAAGAACGAAACAAAAGTGAAAAACCGTCAAACACGCGAACTCCATTTTTTGCTATATTTTTTTGGTTTTATTTCCGCTTTTGTTTTTGCTTTTTGCTTTGTTCTTGCTTTTGTTTTGCATTATTGTTATTTTTTGTTTTTTCAAAACATTATTTGATGGTTGGTCATGTATGGCTGCCATTGCTCAACACAATGTACATCTGATGCTGTGGACAGGTATACTACGTCACAAAAATATAAAACATCATGTTCTTTTCTCAAGCTCCACTCTCCCTACAGCATGTGTTCGGCCCAGGCGAAGGCAAGAGTCAGTGGATCAAATTTGATGACGAGACTTGACTTGTGTTGACACGCTCGAACCGTTGCCGCAATTGAAATGGATTACCATTGCCACACTTGCCTGTTTGCGCAATCGTTCGTTCATGCCTGCATCCCCAAGGAGATGGTAACGTTTTGCAGTGAGCAGGCAGCTGTGGAAGACAACTATGGCGGTGAGGCATTGTTGAAGATGAAACATGTTTATATGACGACCCCATGCGAAACGTACAATTGGACAGTAAATGGGTGGTACTAGCATGTTTTTGGCACTCCGAGCCTGCCTGGGGAGAGGCTGGAAATGTTTTATGTATATATCGGATTCTCAGCTGTTTAAAGTATTTCCACAATACAGTATGTATCGTGTTCTTTGATGCGCAAGCTGTTTGACGTCACTGTATATCCGTTGATGTACGCGTCATGCGCGTCTTGCGTGTTGTGTTGCTGGGAGGGGTGGGGTGGGGAGGCCGGGATAATAATGCTCGTTCCGGTTGCTTTGCGACCGCAGGCTGTGGATGTGCACGTTCCAAAGCTGGGTTTGTTAATCCAGTCAGGAGTCAAGCGCGTGTAATCTTCTTGTCACTGTCGTTTTACAGGAGCGATTGTCTGGCGTCTGGTGGTCATGTTCAGTTTGTTGCTTGTGAGGCAACAGTGAGGCTTATGCGGATACAATGTTTTCCAATGGCAGTTCATTGCAAGCTTTGGGAGGAAGATACTATCTTATCTTGTTCTAGCAAGAAGTCCAAGGTTGGTCAAAGTAGCGAAAGTTCAACTCCATCATGGTCGATTTTCCGTATTCTGTTTGCTGCACACCATGGTGTGTGCCAGCCATGGGCATTTTGCGGAATGGATGCCTTCGCTCATCTGCTTGTCCAAAGTAAACAATATATTTATAATTGTGTTTTGCACATCCGTGCAACACCGCAACACCCTGTTTTGTTCTTTGATCCACTTGTAGGTTTTGCGAGCCTTTGTTCCGCACAGTTTTGTACATGCAAACTTTGTAAACCAAATGACCCGTTACAGGATCTGACTGTGGTGAACTACTTCAGTGCAGCTCCTGATGAAATCCGAGACCGTGATTCTTGGCCCTCCGTCTGTGGGCTCAGCAGAGCAAGTGCATCTGGAACTGTATGTGGCGGGAAGATGAGGGGGTTGAAGTTCCATGTAAGTGAACCAGCTTGGTTGATGACCCAAATTGGACTCAGCGCCCATGTCCTGCAGCTGATTCCTTGGAGATTGAGTTCTACAAAACTCTTCCTTGAAAAGCATTCTGCCTGCCTGACCAGGGCCAACGCATCCACAATGCCTACATGCTGTCCTATGTGCGTGTGGACCAGAAGGCCACTGCGGAACCCTGAAACACAAACTCTGAACTTAGTGCATTGAGGAGCTGCTGACGCCTCCTGTCCTTACCAGTGAGGACGGTGGCTGTCCTCCAGCGTCCAGTTTCAGCTGAGCAATTTGCGCTCCTTTTGTGTAGGCAGAATCTGCCTTGTCCACGCAGGACCCGAAGTACCGTGCTCTCATAGAAAGATGTACGCGGGAGGCTGGATTTGATTAAAACTTGACATGGATTGTATGAGTGAAGCGCCGCCCAAGCTTGGGCACCCATGAATGGCAGTTTCGCATGGTAGCAGAGCTCCGTCAATCCTTCGCGTGAGGGGCACACGCGAAGTGTGAGTGATCACGTGCGAGACTGTAGGGGCACTGTGAAGCTATGGCGGAGCCGACGAGTCCGGCACCGAACGCGTCACCAGAGCCAAGCTGGCCTGGAGTAAGCGTCCCTCCCAGTGCAAAGACGCCCGCAGCTCCCAAAACAATAGAAGCGCAAGTCCCAGAGAGAGCAACCAAAAACAAAGTGCCAGTTATGCACGTCCGCTCAGGCAGCTTTTGTCGCACCGCGAGGTCTCCGCGTTGAAAATCGTAAAGAAATGTGGACAGCCACGATGCATTTCAATTGCAATCACTTTTGTGCCTCGGCGGTGGGCCTGCGGCTGGGGACGCGAGCCTTCGACCGGGCGCCGGCCACGTGTCCCGTGTCGATGCCTTCGGTTGGTAGCACCCTGCAACATAGGCCAACAACCCTGGCAACATAAGCCAACATACGGACAGGATGAGATAACATGGGCCAACATGTGGCAACATGGATATGGTGATGGATGTGAGGTCGTTTTCGAAGGCCCGTGGTGCGATATATGCTGACCGAGTGGTTTTGCATTATTAGCATTTTGTTCTTTAGCTGGGTCTCTGGCTCTTTTTCTGCTACCGGAGGAGAAGAGCACGGACTGGACATGTCCGAGTACTATGTGTTTTACGGTGTTTTCGGGGTTGCGGAGAGAAGTGTTTGGAGTGGACGCGTGTCCGAAAACCATGTGTTTTACATAATTTTCGGGGTTGCGGAGAGAAGCATCTGGATTGAACCTGTGGGAAAACCATGTGTTTTACAGTGTTTGCGGGGCTCGAAGAGACTCGCCTGGATTGAACGTGTGCGAAAGCCATGCATTTTGGGATCCTTCCTGCCCCGGCCGGCGCCCGGCTGTCAGGCGTAAGCCTTTAAATCCGGGCGCCGGCCACCGCGCCAGTGACGAGCGCGCCCCCATGCCGCCAAGATTCCCGACGTCCGGTCGACGTCCGGTCGACCTCCCCCCCCCGGCACCCTGACAGCATAGGCAACGGAGCCGGAAAACAGAGGTCAACGCACGCAGAAGATGACGCAACATGGGCCAACATGGCAACATGGATATGGTGATGGATGCGAGGTCGTTTTGGAAGGCACGTGGTGCGAGATATGCTGACCGAGTGGTTTTGCATTAATTATCCGCCGACCCCAGCCTAGCCGCAGCCTAGGCGGGAGGCGCCTGGGACACCGCAGGGTGCAACCTTGGCATTGGCATCTCCACCTTTGGGCTGTAGCGCAGGCCACAGCTAGCCTGTCCGAAGCCACGCAGCCTAGGCATGGCCTGGGCTGCCACGTACGGTGCTAGCAGCCAAGGCCAGCCTCTTCTTTTCTAGGCTTCCGAAGGCAACGGCCCCCCTACAAACCCCTCTCGGCGCCTCGCAGGGTACAACCTTGGCATTGGCATCTCGACCTTTGTGTGCGCTGCCACGTACGGTGCTAGTAGCCGAGGCCAGCATCTTCTTTTCTACGCTTCCGAAGGCAACGGCCCCCCTACAAACCCTTCTCGGCGCCTCGCAGGGTGCAGCTAGCCTGTCCGAAGCCACGCAGCCTAGGCATGGCCTCGGCTGCTACGTACGGTGCTAGCAGCCGAGGCCAGCCTCTTCTTTTCTAGGCTTCCGAAGGCAACGCCCCCCCTACAAACCCTTCTCGGCGCCTCGCAGGGTGCAACCTGTAGGCTTTAGCACAGGCCACAGCTAGCCTGTCCGAAGCCACGCAGCCTAGGCATGGCCTGGGCTGCTACGTACGGTGCTAGCAGCCGAGGCCAGCCTCTTCTTTTCTAGGCTTCCGAAGGCAACGGCCCCCCCTACAAAC